TGAAGACCAGGCTGGCCTCAACCTCACAGAGATCCAACTGCCTCTGCCTCCCGAATGCTGGAATTAAAGGTGTGTGCCTCCACCACCCGGCTTCCTATGTGTATTTTTTTTTCCAATACTGAGGATTGATTCTAGGATCTCGTGAATGCTAGATAGTTCTACCATGTTGCTACAAACACTCTCATGCCACTTTATTTGTAGTCCTTCTGCCTGAGGCTGCTAAGTACCAAGAATCTCAGGCCTGCCTAAGACTTTCTTTTTCGTTTTGGTTCTGTTTTTTTGAGATTCTGTCTCATATAGCCTGGTCTTATTTATAGCAGAGGCTACCCTGTACTCCTATGCAGTTTTGAAACACATTTACATGGGTGCGTTGCACAGTGTATGTGCTCAGGTCAGAGAACAAGCTCGCACCACAGCTTCTACCAAGTAGATTCAGGGACCTAACCCAGGTCATCGAGCATGGTAGAAAGCACCTTTACCTGCTGAGACAGGCTCTGGCCCTCTTTGTTGTTGTTGTGTTTTCTTCGGGACAAGGGATCTATGTAGTCCTGACTAGCTTGGAACTCTGCCTCCCAAGTGCTTGGATTAACTGTGTGGTCTACCACACAGTCTCTCTCTCTCTCTCTCTCTCTCTCTCTCTCTCTCTCTCTCTCTTTTGAGACAATCCCAGGAAGCGCAGGCTGGCCTTGAAGTTGATATGTAGCTGAGGACGACCTTGTTCTGACTGTTTTCTACCCCGCAAATGCTGAGAGTGTAAATACCACCCATCTCCTACTCCTCATCCCCAGCCTGAGCCCAGGCTTCCTACCTCAGAGCCACCCTTGTATCTGCACTTCTCTCTTCTTTCCAGCTTCCACACAGAGGCTGATGGGTCTTCCTTCTTTTTCTTCATTTCAGGCTGTGGTGGCACAAGAAGGCCAGCGATAGACCTCATGAGACTTTCCCGGCTCTTTTCCGGGCCCCACCCTATAGGACTGTCTGTCCTCCAGCACTGGGATCTTCTTGGATCTACCCGATGGACAGGGGTGAAGGAGGGACTGGCACAGCTGAGGTCGGCATGGCCACATTGGCAGGTGTCGGCAGCCTTCTGCAGCTCTTCTTCCCATCTGCCCCTGGGCCAGGGGAGCCAGAAGAACACGAACAGCTTCTGCTCTGACTCCAATAAGCTCAACTTTGTGACCCATGAGGAGGAGAAGGAAGGACGAAGAGAGCTTTGGGACCCTCTCTGACAAATACTCCTCCTGGAGACTATTCCACAAGTCAACAGCCAAGCTGGATGCCTCCAGTTCTGGGAGAAAACCCTGGGAGTTCTCAAGAAGAAACTTGTGGGGAAAATAGGACCCAGCAGGATCAAATGAGTATGGAGCAGGAATGGCTGTGACCCACTGTGGGAATGAGTAGATACTGAGCTCAGCCCCCCTAACATCTTAGAGTGATGGGAGCTCTGGACAGAGGAGAGATGGACTAGAAGCTTGGAGAGCACAGGGTAGTTTTCAGCTCTGGCCGCTCTGATGCTCATTCTCAGGCCCTCACAAGGTCTTGCACATTCAATTCCAGCCGACCCCAGCAGCGACCACTTCTATAAGGACCAAGTTGTGTTCCCACATTCTACCCCTCTACTAATGCTTACTGTTAGAGACTGACCCCCACCTTGTGGTGAAGACCCTTTGAGCAGTAAGCTGCAGCCAAGAGTGAGAGTGTGGAGATATTTACACCTCGTTTCCTGTCTGTTGACAGCCGAGCAGTCTTTCTCTCCAGATTCTTCAGGGTTGAAGTGACAGGGCAAACTTGCTTTAGTATGGGGTTTGACAGCCCAGCTGTTGCTGTACAGTTCCACCCGTCTTGTTTCTGGTGCCTAGTCTGTGGAGCAGACCTGTCTGTGGATCGGGCCTAGCAGACTCCCTTGTCCTAGCAGCCACCATCATCCTGCTGACCATGTGATGTTCACGTTCTAGAAATCCCAGATGGCCCCTAACACCCACATCTACAGCACTCTCATCAACGCGGCCCTCAAGAAGCTGGACTATGCCTATCTCATTGATATCCTGAAGGACATGAGGCAGAACAGCGTCCCAGTGAATGAAGTGATCATCCGTCAGCTAGAGTTTGCTGCAGAGTACCCTCCCACCTTTGACCGGGTATGTGTGCCACCCTACACTGCTCACCATTGCCTTAGCCGCTGCCATCTCTGGTTTTGGCCTTTGGGGTATGACGTTCATTTCATTTCTGAAAGTTGTTCAGTAGCTTTCCTTAAGAGAACCCCAGGCCCTGAGCCGTATTGAGTACCCTGGAGCTGACAAGTGGCTGTGAGCTGCCTGGTGTGGATGCTAGGACCTGAACTCGGGTCGTCTGGAAGAACAGTACTTTTAACCACTAAGCCATCTCTCCAGCCCACTTTTCATTTTGAGACAGTCTCAGGTAACTCAGGCTGGCCATGAACTACTAATTCTCCTTTCTCCATCTCTCAGATGCTGGGATTACAGGTGTGCACTGTCACGTCCAGCTTAAGTAGCCCTTCTCAGATATGCTTCCTATTCCCCTACAGATAGTCTTGTAGATAGCCATGGTTTACTAGTTCACATGCGGTTATCCTCACTGAACCACCTAGGCTTAGAGGGGTGGAGACTGCCTGGCTCACCTGGTTCCCAATGCTTGTGTGTTGTTTAGTGCTCAGTACTTATTGTTTAGTGGATTGGCAGATGGTCTGCAAAAGATACACTTTGATAAAGGCTGCTGCACATGCTCCCCCTTCAAAGACATCGGGCTCTGTTGAGCCAGGCCCTGTGCTCTTTCCAGAGCATTGAATGGCAACTATGGTCTAGGACACAAACCAGATGGGGAGGGAGGCAGTGATTGGGTGAGAGCGCACACGTCAGGCAGTGCTCAGGGACGGCTCCATGTGTGGCACGCACATGTGTGGCATTTTGAAAGCTATATAAAAATGAGTGTGTCAACGGGCAGACTTTGCCAAGCATTAGGCATAGCTAAACATCTATGAGCCACCTATTTAAAAAAATGTGTATGGGGCCTGGAGGGATGGCTCAGCTGTTAAAGGCTAGGCTCACAACCAAAAATATAAGAGTTCGGTTCCCAGCACCCTCGGCTGTTCCTCCAGGTACTTAAAATGAAAAAAAAAAAAAAGTTAAAAAAAAAGTAAAAAAAAAAAAGAAAAAAAATGTGTATGGGTGTTTTCTTGCATCTGTGCACCATGTATGTGCAGTGCCTAAGGAGGCCGAATCTCTTGGAACTGGAGTTATGGGTGCTTGTCTACCATCTTGTGAGTGCATGGAGCAGAATCCAGGCAGCCAATGCTCTTAATTGCCAAGCTATCTCTCCAGCCCCTAGACTTTTTCTTTTTTTTTTTAAAGATTTATTTATTTATTATGTGTACAGCATTCCTTCTATGTGTGCCCGCATGCCAGGTCTCATTATAGATGGCTGTGAGCCACCATGTGGGTGCTGGGAATTGAACTCAGGACCTCTGGAAGAGCAGTCAGTACTCTTAACCACTGGGCCATCTCTCCAGCCCCCAGCCCCTAGACTTTTTTTAGTTCCATGTTCTAAATATCTTATCAGGAGATGGTCTCGTTGCTTAGTGCGTAGAGAGGGGCGTTAGGTGCAACTGAAGTCTTCTGTCACTCTTGGAGTTAATTTCTGAGAGGGTCTCACTGACACTGGAGCCCATGTTGGCTAGACTTGCTGTCTTGTCACCTGTCTCAGCTCCCTAGCACGGGGGCTATCACACAAGGCATGGGTACTAGAGTGAATTTGTCCTGTTTGCATACCAACACTTTACCATTGAACCATTTCCTCAGCACACTTAATCTATTGCTTATTACTGAGACAGGGTTTTTGTGTAGCCTTGGATGTCCTGGAACTTGTTTTGTAGACTTGACTGGCCTCAAACTTAAGATATCTGCATGCTTCTCCCTCCCAAGTACTGGGATTAAAGGCATGTATCTCCACACCTGACTTAATCTTTTTAAATCAAACTTTTAATCTCATAATTAACAGGGTTTTTCCTCTCTTTTTTGGTTTGGCCTATTTTTCCTATGTAATCCCTGCCAGCTGTTTCAGGCTCTTCATAGCTCTCTTCCCTACAAGTGGATGCTGCAGTGGTCCAAGGTTATAGTCAGGATGGGAGCAGCTCAGCAAAGCAGGCAGAATTGATGGGGTGCCTCAATTCTAGCTGTGGGGCTGAGGTGACCTCCACAGGGTTAGAAGTGCTACAGTACCCGTAGAATTGATGGCTGTTAGGCAAAGGGCAGCTCGTCCTGCCCCGCAATACAGCAGTGAATTGAATGTCCATTTTTCTATCCTGTCCACTGTAGTCTCCTTGAAAGAAGAGCAGAGGTCAGCTGCTGTTAGCTTTGGGTGACGTGCAGTGGCTTGGATTGCCTGAGAACATTTCTGAGCTCCCTGCTTTTCTTAGTGTCTTCCGTATTCATTGTACAGCGTGATGGGTCTCATGGTGAAGCTTCTGTCCCTGTTCGTCCCTCACCTTGACGTAGTTCTGTTCACTTCTAATTACAGTACAAAGGGAACAACACCTACCTGAAGAAGATTGATGGCTTTCGAGCTTATTACAAGCAGTGGCTGAAAGTGATGCCAGCAGAGGAAGCCCCCCACCCCTGGCAGGAGTTCCGGACCAAGCCTAAGAGGAACCAAGACACCACTGGGAATGTTAGTGTCCAGGGAGGCCTTAGGGACAAGTGATGGAGCATGCTGCTGCGACAAGTTCCCATCTTTCACAGTGCTGGCGGAGCCCAAGAGCTCCTTCCATTTAAAAGCGGAGAATGTGCTGGTGTCGCCTTTCTAGAGGCACTGCAGCGTTTTACAGACGTAGGCACGAGGACAAAATACTGGGCCCAGGTTGCCCTCCCCGTCACTGCTGAGAAAGGTGTGAGCTTCTGCTCACACACTGGCTATGACACCGAGCCACGACTGTGCCCATCCCCTGCATCCCACAGCCTGCTGCTCTGAAAGAATGAATACAGCCAAGAGGTCTCATGGTTTTATTTTTACAGATTTCAGCAACTGGAAAGCCTTCACCGCTAGAGCCCATGTCCCCTCTGGGTCTCTTCTCTGAGCACCACTCTGAGAAGAGCTGCTCTGGAAGGGGGGTGGTCCAATAGGTAGGAACCAACAAAGTCCAAAGTCCAGAATACCACAGTCACGGTTGTCAGCCAGAGCAACCTCTGCAGCCACAGTGCGTGCACTCGATGATGCGACCCTGTAACAGAAGACCGGGACATTGAATACACTGCTACAACCCTGCACATACCTACTGAAACGTGCTGTACAAGGTGCTGGTGGAACAGTCCCTGTCCCTAGACACTTCCATTTGGATAGTTTAGCTCCTTTGGGAAAATGCAAAGAATTACTACTAGCTGAAAGTTACATGTTTGTATGTGATTACGGCAAGACACACTTGTCACAGAGAATCCTCTGTAAACCAACCCCCACACCACCACTTTTTTTTTTTTTTTTTCTTTCTTTCTTTTTTTTTTTTTTTTGAGACAGGGTCTCTCTCTGTAGCAATCCTAGATGGCCTAGAATTTGCTCTGTAGACCAGGCTGGCCTTGAACTCAGAGATCCAGCTGTCTCTGCTTAAAGGATTAAAGGTGTGTGATCACCTGATGTAAGCCAGCCTTTTTATTCTCCTGGTGGACCTGCTACTGCCTAAGAGGGCTTTGGCCAGAGTTCTTGAGGATACTGGGGCAAAAGGTATGCACTCAAGTTCCTCTGGCCAGAATAGTCTTGTCCCAGGGGCATAGTGGCTGGCTGGGGGACTGGAGCAATGCTGTCTTGACCTTCTTTTCTGGAGTCCAAGAGCCCATTTTAAGCAAATAAAGTTTTCTGGTAAAGTTTTGCTAAATCTTTGAGACAGGTCTCATAATGGATAAACCTAAATTTCATAGCTTAGTCTACAGATGTGCTTAATGGTAGATGGTAGCTTAGTCTACCACATCTGGTTCTATGGGGTGCTGGAGATGGAACCAGGGCCTCTTGCATACAAGGCTGCCCTCTACCAACTGAGCAACAATCCAGAGGCTGGGACACCAAGAGCCTCCTCTTGGGAAACAGCCATCAACCACTAGCCATGGCTTGGCACATCCACACCAAGAGCCCCACCCTTAGCACAGAGGGCTGATAGAGCTGCCTGCTGAGCTGAGGCCATCTGCACTGAATGAAAGGTGAGCGGATGGACTACCTGGCATGATGTCCTGGTATTCCATTTCAAGGGTCTGGAAACGAGTTCAGCCACTATACCCCAGCACCACTGCCTGGTGCCTGGCCTAGCCTTGAATTCATTATTATATTGAAACACGATCTCAGTGCTAGTCCAGGCTGGTCTTAACCTCCCAAATGCTGGGATTAAAGGCATGAGTCACCACTCCTTGCTTTGGAACAAAGTTATGACAGAAGACATACAGAGACTGTCACCATGAGGCCAGAGAGAAAGGGATAGGTTGCCTAGTAGCCACGCCAATGTAGCCCTTCCATCACCTCAGAGCTACTGCCTAAAAAAGAGGCTTGGTCCAGTTATTTGACCACAGGTAGTGTTGAGACCAGTCTTACATCTCACTAGGAAGGATCCTGATTAGAAGGACTCACTCTTGGGAGGGATGGCAGACAGATTTCCAATGACAAAATTCCTTCCCAAAATACCCATTATGGCCAACTAAGGCAGAGCTTTAAACAGAAAGTAATTCCCCGTCCAGCCATCAGGCATTACCACTTCCAGCTTGCTTTTCGGAACCCGGCAAATGCAGTTCGTCCCAAAGTTGGTGTCCCTGGTCTGAATGCAGCGTAGGCAGCACAAATTCTCGTAGCCTTGCTTTTTCCACTTGGCAATTAGGTTTTTGTCTGCATAGCCTTCTTTAATGCAGTATTCATAGAGCTCTGTCAGAAAGGTAGGGACAAGGCATCAGAACATGGCACAATAAACCTGCCTTCATCCTAGACTAGAAAGGAAAATTAAGCTGGATATGGTGGCCTAAGCCTTTGATTCCAGCACTTGGGAAGCAGAGACAGAAAGATTTCTCTGAGTTTGAGGCCAGCCTGGTCTACAAATCAACAGGTGAGTTATGACAACACACGCCCTGCCTCAAAAAAACAAAACAAAACAAAAACAAACCAAAAAGAAGAAACCAACCAAACAAACAAAAAAACCCAAACCCATTTAAGTGGGGAGTCTTTAATTCCAGAATCTGACAGAGGTAGGTAGAGCATTGTTAGTTTGAGGTCAGTGTGGTTTATAAGTTCCAGGCCAGCCCGGGCTACACTGGTGTAACCTTGTTTCAAAAAAGAAAACACACAAACTTCTTCATCAGTAAATTGATGCTTGCTGGGTTTGCAAAGATAAGAACCATTGCATTTATTTATCTATTTATTTATTTTTGGAGTAAGCATCTCACACAACAGTCAAGGCTTGCCTGAAGTACCCACAGTTTTCCTGCTTCTGCTTTCCAAGTTCTGAAACTATAGGTCTCAGCATTCAACTTTTTCACCTGTTTTGAGATAGGGTTTCTCTGTGCAGCCCCTCACTGTCCTATAATTTGCTATGTAGATCTAGCTAGCCTTGAATTCAGCCAATCACCTGCCTCTGCCTCCCAAACTGCTGGGATTAAATGTTTGTGCCACCAGACCTGGTGACAGCCAGCTTTTTATGAACCACTATATTTATCTCAAAACTAGTCAAATACAAAAGGTCAGCAAGTTTCCTTAGAGGCCAAGAATGTTTTCCATACAGGCCTAATGACCTGAGTTCAACCCCCCAGGCGCACATGGCAAAAGGAGAGAACCAGTTTCTGAAGATTGTCCCACATCCTCCACACTGAAGCCTTGGAATGCACTTGCTCCCACATGTATATGAATAGAGTAACAATAGCTTTTTAAAAGCCAAGGTATTTAGCCAGTCACATTTACCTCTACTAATGGCTTTCCGCTTATAAAACAGGTCAAATATGTATCGTGTTTTCTGGTGATGGATTCTGAAAATGGGCCACAGAGATTCCACTTTTCTCTTTCCCTCATGGGGTTCGGTTTCAGCTGGAGAGAAAAAAGCATGTATATATTTTAGAAGACCGTCTGTATAGCATGCAGCATGTTTGCTTCCTTAACTATAGCTATGATTATTTTATACCCGTGGGGATAGTAATGAAAACAACGGACAATGACAAGAGTGCACAGAACTGGAATCCTCAAGCCCTGCTAGAGGAATGCAGGACGGGGTAGGAAATGTCTAGAGTTACCATGAGTTTAGGAACACACTGAAGCAGGATGAATACAGACTTTTTTCACCCACTCTATTCCTTTTTAAAAAATTTTTTATCTTTTATTTTTTAAAATATTTATTTATTTATTATGTAGACAATATTCTGTGTGTATGTCTGCAGGCCAGAAGAGGGCATCAGACCTCATTACAGATGGTTGTGAGCCACCATCTGGTTGCCGAGAATTGAATCAGTACCTTTGGAAGAGCAGGCAATGCTCTTATCCACTGAGCCATCTCTCCAGCCCTCCCACTCTATTCCTTTACTGTCAGAGTTGTGCCAAGAGATCTCTTGACCCATACATAGCAAGCTTGACTACTACAAGTTCTGAGTACTGAACAGAAACTGGCACCAACTGTTGTGAAAAGAGAAAGCAAAGTTAATAATAGCTTAGTAATTATTGTATAGGTATGACCTCCCTCAATAGCAATGATCAGATCAGCTGTAAATATGTATTTCAAAGATTGTTTTAAATAGCAATTCAAAGGGGGCTGGAAAGATGGCTCAGTGGATAACAGCACTGGCTGCTTTTGCAGAGAACCCAGGTTCAATTCCTAGCACCTAGGAATTGAATTATGTTGCAACTCCAGTTCCAGGGATCCAACGTCCCTCTTTCAGCCTTTGCAAACACTAAGCACAAACATGGTACACGTGAAGCAAAACATGAAATAGCAATTCAGGATGGTGATGGGATAGCTCAGTGTAAGTACGCTTGCTCCCAAACTACTATGAGACTGATCCCTGGAATCCTCAGGGTAGAGAGAACTGACTTTGGTAAGTTGTCCTCTAACCTCTATCCACGCTTTGTAGTACACGTTTGTGCAAAAGCCACTCTCACACCACACAGATAACAAGCAAGTACTCATACAGCAAGATGTCTTTTGTTTATCTTGGCAGACTTAGAATCACCTAAAGGGGCCTCATGGGAGTAATGAGCTAGATCAAGTTGGCCTGAGATAGAAGATCTACTCTGAATAGAGGCACCATTCTCGGTGTGTGTGTGTGTGTGTGTGTGTGTGTGTGTGTGTGTGTATCCTCAACTGTCTAAGAGTGAAGAAAGGTAGTTGACTAGTTGAGGGCTGCAGAGATGGCTCAGTGGTTAAGAGCACTGCCTGCCATTCCAAAGGTCCTGAGTTTAATTCCCAGTGTTAGCTAACAACCATCTGTAATGAGACCTGGTGCCCTCTTCTGGCCTGCAGGCACACATGCAGACAGAATACTGAGAATGCTGTATATATAATAAATAAATCTAAAAAAAAAAGCTAGTTGAACTGTGTGAGCAAGCACCATGTGTGCATTTACCACTTTTTTTTTTTTAAAGTTTCTTAGATCATTTACATATGAGTGTTTGGTCTACATGTATGTAGGTACCCAGTGCCCATAGATGTCAGAAGAGGGACTGGATCCCCTGGAACTGGAGTTATAAACAGATGTGCGTAGACATGTGGGTGTTAAGAAATGAGCCTGGGTCCTCAGCAAGAGCCGCATGTGCTTAATCACTGAGTTATTTCTGTAGCCCTGATCTCTGCTCTTTGACTGTGGGTGTGTGTTGTTTTAGTTCCAGTCTGACATCCCCTCAATGATAGACTCTAACCTGGAATTGTAAACCAAATAAACCCTTTCCTTCCCTATGTTGCTTTTGATCAGGGTGTTTTTATCATAGTGACAGCAACCAAACTAGGAGAAGCTGTGCTCACCAAAGGCTAGCATATACTTGGGGCTTCAGATAAAATGTCCAGAGACAAGCTAACTGCCAGGATTCCACAGTGGGGTTGTGATGCAGAAACTGCTACATGGTGCAAAAACCCAGGGATAAAGATTTTCTAAGACCCAGGGCACTACAAGATGGTGATGGTTGGGGGGGTATGGGATAAAAGATGCTTTATATAATGGGGCCGTTCCTGGCACCCACATCAGGGTAGCTACAAGTACCGTAACACCAGCTTTAGGGTATCTGACACTCTTCTGGCCTCCTGTACTTCCATGCATATGTCCCCCCTCTCCCCCAATGTAAACTAAATCTTAAAAAAAAGAAAGGAAAGAGAGACAGAGAAAGAGACAGAGAGCAAGCGAGCAAGCTGTGCATTATGCTATACCTTAATTTCTGTGCTAGGGAGGCACAGGCAGCTCTCCAAGAGCTCGGGGCTAGCCTGATCTACACAGATACAGGATGGCTAGAGGTATGTAGAAACACTATGTCAAAAGTAATGAAAAAAAATTTATACAGTGAGACCCCGTCTCCAATGTAACACTTAAAGCAAAAAAGACACCTGATCTTTCTCTCAGAAATATGCACTCTAATAACCCCATTTCAGAACTTTTGAGCATTCTGAATTGATAAGTAAACAAAATTGACCACTTGGCAATGAGCCTCTTCTCACAGTTGTCTGTCTATCGTTGGAGGCACCTGAGCCTCCTACATCCAACCTACCCAGTTAGGAACACCACCACTTACCTTCTCTCATCTTTTGATCTAATTCATCCAGTGTTGGTTCGATCAATTCCCAGCCATCTGGAGGAGCTTTCCGGCTTCTTTTGACTTTGGGCATTTTCCAGCAAGATTTGTAAAGAACTAGAAGAAAGTCAAGAGCTTTCTGAGTCTGGGACTGCCAGAGGCCTTTGGCAGACATTCCTGGTGCACATTCATTCATTTATTCAAAGTATGAGCAGTTAAGTACCTCCATAAAGGGACGGACTCCTATCCAGACTCCTGAGTTCACACTGCAGGTCTGTCTGTTTTTCACGTCTGTCAAGCCCAGGAAGTGTAATGTATATTATGTTGGTGAGTCACGTGTATGTGTTTTCTGAGCGCCTAGTGTTGGCTCTCCACCCCCTATTTCAGAGCCTAGCACATGTATCTTGGTATCCTCTCCAGTCCTATTTCTGGGCATGGGCTACCTCTCAAAAAGCCCCCTAACTCTACATAGGGAGGAATGATAACAGCAAAACAGAGCAAGAGTGAAAACACCATGGCCTTGGAATCTGCTGGAAGGTACTCTATTTCTAACAGTTAGTACTGTTTACCTTACCATATAAAAGTGTCTACATTAGAAAGGAGAACCTGGAACTTCAACCATGAGAACTTGAGCTGACTACCTCAATTCCCCCAGTCAGTTTCTGCTGGAGGTTGTGAGTAGCAGATCTGATGACATCATCTCAACTTTTTTTTTTTTTTAATCGAATCCATCTGATGGATACTATGGCCAGAACTCTACTGGGCACTCACTCCAGTTGGTTGCCTTAAACAGCTTCCCCAGTAGATTTTTGCTAGACACTTTGCCATCTACTTCCTCCCCCTTCTCTCTAGCTATTCATTTTGTTACTTTGGCTTGCATCCAAAGTCAAAAGTATGCCCACAGTAGATTATTCTTCAGAAGGCCCCAGGCGGCTACTTAGCCTTTAGATGTGAATGGTTGTACACACTTATAGGTTGGAGGCAGAAGAATCAGGAGGCATTCAAGGCTAGCTTTGGATATATTGTGAGTCTGAGGCCAATCTAGCAACCTACAACCAACCTAGAGTATGTCTCAAAAGAAAAAAAAGTTTTCACTTTCTCACCAGTAAAAATAAGTATAATAAGATATGCCTTATGGGATCATTATTAAAAATAGATTACAAGTCAATTACAACGAAAACCTTTAAGTAAAGGGTCTAAGGGCTGGCAGTTTAAAAGAGTAAAACATAGGTATGAAGAGCACAATACCTTCGATCTCTTTCCTATGAGAATATATAAAAATTCCTCCCTGGTCTTTGCAGTTACAAGCCTGTGTTCTTGACCTGATTCACCAATATTCTGTGACTTTGGGAAGATCACTTTTCTTCTTTGGTCCTCTGTCTCATCTGTAAAAAGAAAGCAGAAAAATTGTTTTTCCTTTTTTTTTTTTTTTTTGGTGTTCAAGACAGGGTTTCACTGTGTAGCCCAGGCCTGCCTTAAATTTACAGAGATCCACAGGCCTCTGCCTCCTGGAATTAAAGGCATGAGCCACCAAGCCTTTAATCGCCTAAAAGGCAAAAAGCACCTTTTCAAATTGCATTAAGCTTTCTAGCTGGCCAAGAGAATCCTGGCCACTTATTACCTGTTAAGTACAACTGACTCCTGTCTTTCAAGTGTACGCATTCCCACCCACTGTATGGCGAGTGAGCTTTACAACACCCCCACCCTCACACACCTCTCCTTAACAGTTTTACAAATGACTTCAAACAGTAAGGTGGATTCAGGGTCACCCAGCCGAGAACTGGCAGAGTCTGACTGGAGGCTCCAGACTTCCCCATCAGTGGTCTTTGCACCGGTTCTCCCAGCACAAAAGTGAAGAGGTGGATGGAGTCTGAGTCCTTCCCAAGGCGCGCAGCCTCACTAAAGAATCACTTTCTTCCGACCCAGGAGAATTCAACCGAGGAGACTCCCAGGTCAGGAGAAAGGTAAAATGAGAAGGTGAACGTATCAGGAGTTAAGAGGTGTTGGGCGGTTTACAGAGTTTGGGAGAAGAGGTGAACGAGAGGGAAGTTATTGACGAAACAGTGGGGGAAATTCAGAGACCAGCATCTGAGAAACAGGCGGTATTTAGAAAACGGTCCAGGAAGAGAAAACGATGGGGGGGGCACCGAGAAAGAAAGCGCCTCAAATCCACCATACCCTGTGTAGAACGATAAAGACATCAATTTATCAGGGACTACAGCCTCTGTCGCTTACGCAGCTCAGATCTCCTTGGCAGTAACAGTTGCCAAAGAGACAGTGCTCGAGAACAGAGGAAAGAAATACTCACCGGAAGACCAAGCACCTACGGCCGCCGCTTCTTTATTGACGACTTCCGCCCGGGTGAGAAACACTTCGGAATAAGGCCCTTGCGGGACCCCGCCCACCTCGCGCGGAGATTGCGTCATCTTAGGTGTCCAAACACTGCCTTTGTAGAATTTCGGAGGTCCTACGGCCCTTTTCTTTTTACTTTCTGTGGGGGGTGGCTGGCACAGCTACGCGTCTCCCCCGACCGGGATCCCGGGGAGTGCGGTTGCCAGGCAGCACGCGGTCGGGCCATAAAATCAGGCAACTCGCAAGACATCCCGGCCTCGGTGAGGTCCCCGTTTCTCGCGGCGGCGGCGGCGGTGGCGGCGGCGGCGGCGTGCAGGGAGGCACTGCCCCGGGCGGAAGAAGTCGATCCCAAGGCATTTCCGGTTCCGGTGTCAGTTCGAGGCGCCGCCGCCGCTGCAGCAGCCGGAGCCGAGATGCCCAAAGGAGGTGAGGGAGTGGGCGCGCGTGGTTCGCGTGACTTCGCTAGGGGCGGCCGTGGGTGGGCTGCCACTGTCCCCTCAACCCGCGGACCTCTAGGAGATCCGCGCCGAAGGAGGCCATTCCCGCCGCCTCACAGCCGAGCGTGGGCCTCGACGCTCAATTGTCCTGCCTGGGAAACAGGATCGCAGTGGTCGAGAGCCTCGCCATCGGGGATTTTAAGGAAATTCCTGGGCGTTAGGTCCTCGCCCCCGAGGAAAAGGGGACCCAGAAGTCGGTCCTCGGAGCCTGGCGAGCATCTGGAATTGCCCTCCCTTTTGGCCGGCCGGAGACTGAGTCACCGTGTCCCGCGCTGGTGCGGAGCCTGTCCGCCGCGAGCAGAAAGTGTGGGTTCTGTGGGGCTCCAACTCGGCCACGCCTGCCTCATAATAAGACCTCGACTTAATGATGTGGATTCTGGCCCACCTTGTTTTGACTCTCTCCTTGCACGGTAGCCATTAAGGATGCGTCTCTGAGCCAGTCGCCTAACTTTCTTTGTGTCTCGGTTTTGTCGTTTCCAAAAGGGGAGGCATTGATTATATCTCTACCTCTTGTTCCGTTTCGAGGCGTAAACTAGGTGGCCCCCGTACTCAGTCTAGTGCCCCGTGGCCCCTAAATGCCCAGGCAAGCCCCCAAAAGACAGTAGAATTGGGAGTTTGAATACCAGATATATCACATCCTAATTCTGTTGCCTCAAACAAGATTTTAGCCTCTTCTAGTTCGTTTTCTGGACCTGAACTACACGGGTGTGAGTTGAGTTGGGGACGCTAGAAGACATCGCACTAAGGACCTGGATAGCTCTTGGCACCGAACAGATGTTCTGTTAATGTTGGGAGCTCACGTGTTAAGCCAGTTAATTCAGTCAGCCTACAGGAACATCTGCCTGGAGCTTTTTCAAGCCTAAATTGCTTCCTGTCAATATGCAGACATTGGGCTTTACAGAGCCAAGTGCGGCTAAACCTAGTTCTCTTCCGATGTATTCTGTGTCTGGAAGAACACTGTCTTTTGTTCCTCTGTCTCATCTGTGAGAGGCAAAGGAACTTTTCCAGCTCCCGAACTCTGACTCCGAGGTTGGAGATTCCAGTTTCTCAGTCCTAAATATGAAATACTGCCTAATGGTCTTTTGATTTGTGAAAAGCCTTGCAGGCAGACAAGGCTTGGGTTATTATGATAAAACTATAAAAAATATATTTTTAAAAAATTCCCCAGGAGCAAGAGACAGATTCTTTTTCTTCATACTGAATTGTTTTCAGAGCCTTGAAAGAGCCTCTGTAAGCCAAGCTAAGGTCAGTATCCCATAGAGAAATGTCGGAAATAAGGGCCAGTAATGACCCGTTTTGAGTTGTTACCGCTGCCTGGAATATTAAGAAGGCAAGAAAGGGTGTTTTGGGAACTTTTTTGTTGTTGTTGTTGTTTAGTTTGTTTTTGTTGGGTTTTTGGATGGGGGGGGGTTCGACACAGGGTTTCTCTGTAGCTTTGGAGCCTGTCCTTTGGAGCTCTTCGTAGACCAGATTGGCCTTGAACTCACAGACATCCACCTGCCTCTGCCTCCTGGGTGCTGGGATTAAGGGTGAGTGCACCACCACCCAGCTGTTTTGAATGGCAAGCTTGGTATCTCACAATAGGCCTTTCATGAGCACACCTAGATACCCTTGGGAACTCAGGTAGTCATTAAAAATGGGTGGTGTGGGCAGTGGCAGCCCAATTACAGCTCTGCAGCTGCTGTCTAGGAAATCAGTGTCTCTGCAGTGTTCTCTAGAGCCTGGAGTAGTTGTGGCTAATTGCAGATTCTCTACTCACAGCAAGGGGCTTTGGGAAATCCAGAGAGGTCATGTTGCAGATGAGCTGTAGCAAGAACTGGGCTAGTGTGCTCCTAGAGCATCAGAGTTAACTTAACCTCTTAGATGAATTGTCACCGATAGTCCAAGTCAGTGTTAGACTGCTGTTGTTGGATCTGTATTCAACATTAATTTTGCCAGTTTAATTTTTCTTGTGTGAGCGAGACGTTTTTGTCTGCATGTATGTAAATGCACCATGTGAGTACAGTCCCAGAGAAGTCAGGAGAATACATTGGATCACACTGCAACTGGAGTTACATATGATTTTGAGCTGCCGTGTAGGTGCTGGGAGCCAAACAGGACTGTCTCGCAGCTAGTGCTCCTAACTGCTGAGCCGTCTCCAGCCCTATTGGCTAGTTTAATTCTGAACACAGAATTTCCGCTGGTATATTTTTTGGGCTTTTTTTTTTTTTTTTTTTTTTTTTTTGAGACAGGGTTTCTCTATAGCTTTGGAGCCTGTCCTGGCACACTCTCTGTAGACCAGGCTGGCCTTAAACTAACTCACAGAGATCCGTCTGCCTCTGGCTCCCAAGTGCTGGGATTAAAGGTGTGTGCCACCATCACCTGGCTATTTTGGGCTTTTATCCTGTAAGTATTCTCTTCATATCACGAAGATAAACGTGGAATATTTATTCTTTCTGCTGCCATTGGTGACAGTTCACTGACGGTGCCAGTGGTACCTTAGGTTTTTCTACCAACAGGGTATTAGAACAGATTAGCAGACATTTTGTGTCTTATCCAATGCCACTCACAATTCCAGTTGCTTTCTCTCTCTCTCTCTCTTTTTTTTTTGTTTTTTGTTTGTTTGTTTGTTTGTTTTTTGAGACAAGTTTTCTCTATGTAACAGCCCTGGCTGCCCTAGAATTCAGTGAAGGGACTAAAGGCATGTGCCACCATGCCCGGCCTTGCTGCTTTTTGAATGGTAACCGGTTTATTTCCATGGCAGCCTTTATGGGGGGGAACCCCCAAGGCTTTAGGAAAGTGTATACCTGCCCAGAGAGCCACACATTTAGGAAGTGATAAAGCTAGATTGGTACCCAGAGATTTAGGCTTCAGAATTCTTCCTCTTTTGCACTTTGCTTGACAGTAAGTCTCCTTCCCTGTGGTAGAAAACCAGCAGTGGCTTTTGTATTGTACCTTTGTTCTAAGGATCAGATGAGCTGTGACAGAGTGATATTAGCGTAAAAAGCTTTGTAATGCCAGAAAAGGCATACATTTTTTTATGCTTCTCTACTTGGTCTCTCACTATGTGCCCTGCCTAGCTCGCAACTCCTTATGTAGACCAGGCTAGCCTAGAACTCTAGAGGTGTGTCTATATCTTCCCTGCCTCTGCAGTCTGGACTGCAAGGACTAAAGGTGTATGCCACTATACCCAGCCATATTTGGATTTTAAGAAAACAGGATTAAGTCAGACTCCTTCTTATTTTCCTCACCTCAAGTCTTGTTACAAATCTACATCTGGCAATTTGTGCATCAAGTGTCATAAGCTGCTACCTTTTTTTGGGAACACTGTACTTGGTGGGGGTAGGTGAGGTTCCCTTTGTCCCAAGCATACAGCCTCCTGTGGGTCAGTGCAAAAATGGCAGCCTTCTCTCTCACCTTCCTGAATTTCTGATCTTTGTGCAGGTAGAAAGGGAGGCCACAAAGGCCGGGTGAGACAGTATACAAGCCCTGAAGAGATCGATGCCCAGCTACAGGCTGAGAGGCAGAAGGCCAACGTGAGTACATGTCTGATCCAGTGGGCCTGCGTGGTGCCTTGCTTCTGGCTACTGGGGAGGACAGGAGAGGACTGTTCTCCAGGAAAAGTCACCACATGGGGTGGGAAGGGCAGCAGATGGCAGGTGTGATTGGACCAATAAGAAGGGACTTTGCGTCCACTTTGTAGTAGTTGCCTTAGTGGCCTCCACTCTTGGTCCTGTGTGCCTGCCTTGTAGAGGCTTTCCCTCTACCTGCCACTGTCCATCTACAGCTCTGATTTCCTGGAATCACATAGGGAGAGCCAACTTCCCACACCCTCAGCATTGCTCTTGATTTTGTCAGCATCACTGCTACTGTGACTCTTGCTAGTGTTGCCTGTCCTCCTCCAGTCCAAGCTGAACTAGTAGTTCCCTTTCCTCTGGGCCCAGGATACCCTGTCCAATCCACTATAATTTGCATCTCCTGTAATACTGAATACCTACACCTTGATTAAGGGCCTAAGGGTACAGACAGCCCCCTCTCCTACCCCAACCCTGAGAAAGGGAGGAGCCATATCTAGCTGGGGAATCTGGTAGGGCTTTGTGGAGTTGCTGGCATTTGCATGGGACCTTGGAGAATGTATGGGTGGGTGTTAAGAGAGAATGGACATAAGGTTTTTATTGGGACTTTTTAAATTTGGTTTTGGGGACAGGATCTCACTATGTGGCCTAGGCTGGCTTTGCACTCTCTTGGCAATCTTTCTGCCTTATTGCTGTGTGCTGAGATTATAGGCATAAGTCATAATGTGGGCTCTTCCAGGTGATTCGGAGGGGGAGTGTCGAGACAGAAAGACTAAAAGCAGTTAGCCTGCCGAGATGTGGTCTTGGGCATTGGGTGCTAAAGGGAGTTTGTGGGCATGCGTGACTATGGGAACATAAAACTAGGAAAGTCACTTTGGCAGCTGCATGCAGCAGGTACCAACTGAGCAGGCACAGTTTTCAGCTCCACATCTGGATCTTTCTCACTTGTGAGATTAGCTGCTTCCCGGACTGACCAAGGTGGCTATGAAGAGAATCAGGACCTTTTGTGGCTGTATCAGAAGCTTTACTGG